GGGATTGGAGAAATATTTAATTAGCAATAAATATATTTCATAGGATTTATCAAATCCTATGCGAAAATATGGATGAGTAACTTACGCTTCTAAAAATTCGTCTACAATATAGTCAGTCCTCAAATAATATAGAAGAAAATGAGTATCTGGATGACCCGTACATAAAGATTAAGTCAACTCTATTTTCTGATAAAAATCTCACAAAATTAAGCCGCAAGTAGCATCCAGTGCAATATTTTCGTTCTTTATGTGTATTAAGTACGAGACTTTACACACCGATGTATTCCTATTATGATAATAATGGCGGGAGACCAAGCTAGAAGAACCAAGCTAGTTCTGAGTAAATATGATGCCAGTATAACAAATAATGAATCGACCACTAATAATATTGACATGAAGTCATTTCCTACCTAACATCATCGACGCACTGCGCGCACCGACTCCACAGCTCCACACAGCACAATTACTGCCAAAGCTCCTATCCTAACAACACAAACGACAACCTCACTTGAACTCGTCGCACACAAATACGAAGCCCTACAGACAGTGTAAATTTACTGACCTATTGATAAATAGAAAAAGTGAACAAGCGAGTTTGATGACCAACAATACTACGTTACATGTTTTACCCAAGATCTCCTGTGAAGTACATCTGAGCTCTCAGACTCAAATGACCTACTTCAGCGTCTCCGCGAAGGCGACAGTTAAAAAATAATCTGAGTCGCCTGCCTCCAATGTCACCTGATTCCAATAAAAACGATCTACTCTATACATAAAACTGAATTACAACTTTTTGGCTGGATCAGATCAGCTTCGTAGTTATTTCTCATCACTTATTTATCGAGCCCTACAAATCGCAGTTTTGAGCAGTACTACACGGTTTTTATTAACGAGCGGCGAATTGATCCAGTATCCGCCGAGTGGCGACTCACGTGTCGCAAACGGTAGATGAAACGTTGCGAGAATCTGTTGGACATCTGGCAGCACAATACGGTCTTGAATTTACGTCGTTGAATTAAGTGTTCTCATTAATGGGTAGAAAGAAGCAAAAACGACAGGAAATTACGAGTTTAAATGGGCGCAAACAACATAAACTTGATAATACCCTATAACAATTACGATTCAAGTAAAATAAACTATTTAAAATAACTTGTCCTAAAATCAATCAGTTTACCATCCATGGAACTTGTCTTTATTACGAGTGCTATAGATAACGAGTGCTATCTATATTTATACGATACAAGTGCTAGATGACTGACATGACAATCGTTCACCGCAGTGACGGCCATTGAGTTGCTCGCTCAACAGCGCCGCATAATGCGAGTGACCGCGCGAGTCCCGCACTCATGGATGAGCAACTTGCCGCACAATAATTTAACCTGAATCAACTTGAGTGATGGACTGCACTTGAGATGTATATCAATAATACAAACGATATTATGAGGTTGTTATGAAGATATATTTCGATAAATTTTAATTGAAAAAGTTTTGAGACCAGCTTTATCATAAGTTTAAATTCTGGATCAATACATGTATTGTCAAGCTTTTTTTACTGATAATGGAAATGGTCCTCAAAACGTTGTTAATTAAATATAATGAATTAATTCTAAACTTTTCGTTTAAAAATTCTTATTTACTTGCAAACTATTAATAAATAATAATAAAATAAATAATAAAAGTTCTCGTTATCTTAATTTCATAACGGTTCAAAATCTAAATGCATCGTCAGTCCCAAGATAATATAATGACAGAGTAGGCGCAATAAATTAGCGGATTAGCTTTGTAAGATCCACCCTGTCTTTCAAGCACAACCTACGAGCCGCCAAAGACTCCATCAGCCGCTCAAAGGAAAATATTTAATACTATTAAGGGGACCGGCTACCATAAAAATCGGAAATTTTGGCTTTACCGTTTTCTTGACTCATTTTGTAGCTACTGAAAAGGCGCGTCTAACGCAGTTTATCGCATGTCTGTGCGTGCTATAATTTTTGCGTAAGACAATTTTAAAAATATATATATATGAACATTTTTCAACAATATGTACAGAGATTTATTTGAATTAAATCTGTATATATAGATCATTACTCTCGTTAATTACAAAGTGTTTGCACTCCTTTGAAAGCTACAAACGAGACGCGTTCAACAAAGCTACTACCATAGATGTACATGCAATACTTTTTTGTGTAATGAAGTCTTGAACTTTTATAAAATGATCATTTTATATCATTATTTACAAATAAATGGTATTTATATGTCATTATTTAAGTTAATTGCAAAGTGTTTGCACTCGTTTGAAAGCTACAAACAAGACGCGTTTAACAAAGCTACTACCATGGATGTTCATGCAATAGTTTTTGCGTAATGCAGTTGTAAAGTTATGTAAAATGAATATTTTATATATATATATATACATATTTATGTATAAAAAGTCCCATTTATAGCCTATTATTCACGTTAAATTGAACATAAATAGGTCTAAAGACGCGTGCTGGTACCTTGAATGCAAATAATTGGCAATGGGAAAGTTTGGGCTACAATATCAAGACTTTTTGGGCATATTCTTCTGTTTTCAATGAATTTTACTTTGTTTGGCTCCGCTGAACAATTTAAAAATCCAAAAAACGCCATCTTAAAAAATTATAACTCCAACAGTTTTCAAGATACGGCAATGAGAGACATACCATTCGATTTGTAAAAACAATACCTAGCGACTCTAGAAGCCTTTTTTTAATATGTGCATGGTTTGACTTATATATGGGAGGGGGAGGAAGGCGGGATATATGGGAGGGGGAGGAAAATCAGCAAATTAGTTAAATAAAAAGTCATATAGTTAAAATGTGAAAAAAATGGGATGAACGCGAAAAAAACGATGAGGAAAATAAAAAATCGGGGCTCTACAGTCGCTAGGTATTGTTGTTACAAATCGAATGATATGTGTCTCGACATTGTAGCATGTGATTTGCAAAAGTTATAAAAATTTTTAGAGTGCCCCTTATTTGTCGTTTTATATTAATTCCACGTTTTTTTCCTTTTTTTCATATATACATGAACAAAAAGGTCTTAGATTTCTGTTTTACTTATGTGTACCAAGTTTCAAAACGATCCGTCTGTAAACAAAAAAGTTTTGTTGGAGGGTAGCCGGTCCCCTTAAGTAAAATCTAAAGGCTTTATATATAAATGTAGCGGTAGCGCTGTAGCGGCAAAACCTCGTATCGCTACTTAAATATGTAGCGGGCGCTACCCATACCGCTACATTGCCTTAAATGTAGAGCCGCTACCGCTACCGCTACTGAAAATGTAGCGGCCGCTAGTAGCGGCCGCTACATGTAGCGCGCTACTGCCCACCTCTGTGTGTTAAACAAACTAATTACAGGTAAGACCTGATATCCAGTCCAAATTAGAAGCGCTCACAGCAGTAAACAAGGATATTCATTCGAACACAGGCTTCATTTTCATCAGCCATTGAGTCCACAGAGTTAATTAGGAGCAAGGTCGCGCAGCTTCCGGTGGAGCAGATATCTTATCAGGTGCCAGCTGAGCTGTCTTATCTCTCGCCCTTTACGCGTTGCGCCAGCAGCCAGTTGGCCACCATCACACCCACACTACACGTTTATTTAACTACATTGTGTACACATTAATGCTGTGACTTGGTTTACTTATGATACTATACGACAGAATACAGAGTTTAACGTGAGATAATTATTATTTGCGAATTGTTTAGGAGAAATAACAGTATAAAGTAGCCACAGTTTTAATCATCATAATTGAAAATCTACTTCGTTTATGTAATTAGACTTTGGCGGAACAAACAGAGAGAAACTATCAAAATTACATGAGTGGAATATTCGAATTGTTATAAGCATTGATGAAAATGCTTCAAATTAATAAAATGAGCAATTCCGCAGTCAGTGCATCGACTCGACATAACCCAGTTTGCTTCAGAAGAGCCTTTAACGCGCAATTTTTTCCCATAGCACACCACATGGAATTCAATTTTTATTTTTTCAATAAGAATATTATGGATACAATAAGGCATAAATTAGTGCAATTTAACATTACTAGACCGCACAATAATCCTGTAACTACATAAACAAATTTTGAACTCAAATGATATCATATAATAAAATGGGGCATTGAAATTTTCTTTGCTAAGAACAACAGAAGAACGTGCAATAAAATCAGCATTACATATTCTTCAGAGTCGTCACAAGAGGGTAGACAAGAAAATAAGTAAAGAATTGCTATGAAATTCGAATTATCCTTCACTCGATATATATAGTAGGTATTAATTAGAAAACATACACTTCTTGGAAAAAACACGATATCCATTTCCAAATATTTCAAAGTATCTTTGAAAATACGCGAAGAATTGACCAACATAGAAATATGGTTGAACGGAAATATTTTCACGGAGGTGCATCACTGTCCCGACCGAATGCATGAAGAGCCCCAACTCCCCTTGAAACGCAGAACAATTTCGAGTTACAATAAAACTTTGAAAAAAACAAGGCGATTTCAACATTTTATCGATCTTGATAACATTGAGCATCACAGTATAATTTAACGAATTATTCAGCATTGATAGTAGCTCAAGATATTATATGTCAACAAGTACCCCTTCGCTGCTATTATACGCTTGGTCGCAAGACGCGACATGGCCAGCCAACCTTGATCGGATTACATGGACAATTAATTATAACATCTTACGTCGAGCGGATCAGGGATTGAACATTTAAATTTGACATGAGAAGCAGGGGACTGTGCGTCTTGAGCATAGTCGAGGCGATTAGTAATACAGTTGCAATTATTGCATCGAAATCAATTATTACATTGGAAAGCGGGATGTTTCAAGCTTGCCTATTACAATTTTTTATTGTATGGATCTAATAAAATAATTGTACACGTTTACAGTCTCCAGAAGAAGTAGACATTTGACTGCATTTGGTCAATGAATGCTGATGAATATTAGTACACGTGGCTGTGAGGCTCTCATGACTCACCTGTATAGCCCGATGACGGCAGAGAAATCAATTAAAATAGCATTAGGTCCCCAACACTCGTAAGCCGTAACAACGTCTGTCCGATGTTTGAGGTTCCTCTGCCAGATACTCCACCACTTGTACTACAGATTTTGTTATTGAATGCGCTATGTGTCTTGGTGTATGTTTCAGGGTCAGTGATAATAACACATTATATATCTTAACGAGCAACAATGCAAGGAACACTCGACACACGTTGTAAAAAAATGCGTTCTTAACTAACAATAACTAAACTGCGTTAAAATCGTGGAAGACTTTTCAACTCGTCAAAGCTTAAAATCAATTAACAGAAATCACGTCGGTTGTTTTGCTCACGTAGCCTGCAATATTTGGGAAAGTTTCCCCTTCACATTTTCTGAACAAGAATCACTTGCATTATATTTATCTAACTACCAGCTCAACGAGAACCTAAGAAATAGTATGTGGTGAACTATGGTCACGAAACACAACCTTCTACTTATCACCTTCACCTCCGACTGACAACTGCCTCAGCTACTAGCAACATTTCAAGATGGCTGCCTGCACTGCTCCAGCCATGCAATCGATTGCTCACTGCTCGAGAGCAAAGAGAGGAACTTTGCCCCCTTTTCCAACAGCTGCTCTCTACGGCGCCTGCCGCTCCAACGCAACTTCCAGAAAGGGCTCACTAGTTAGACCACTTCGACTGAACCAAGCATTAATCAGCCGACGCTGTAATTTGACTTGAGGAAAAATTCACCGAGAATGCCCATGTTGCAGCAATTTATTGAAAGGTGTACAGAAAAAAAAATATTTTAGAACGGGTTTAGCCTGCTTTCAATCGAAATCAAGTCAGTGGGCAAAATAAGTGAAAATCAATGATCCTGTTGTTTAGCCGTAGTCAACAGGAAATCATTGATGCGTTCTGGCCTGGCATTATCGACTCTTCGATTCCTCCAATTTTAACTTAAGTTCTACAGTTGAGTAAAACTCGGCGCAACAAGCGTGCCACTGCAAATATATGTTGTTATGGTTCGCAGCGGCATGCCATAATTAATGTTTAATTCTAGATAAATCTTGATCGTTCAAATAACAATCGCAAATGAAACTACGGACTCGACACGTTTTCACGTTGCTAGCGAGCATGTAGATGCACATGCTTAACTGATCCTAATTGACTAGTTTCAAATTTGCCCCATCGTAAAGGTTTATGCAAGCCAAAGTTAATGACATACCATTCTGCATTGATAAAACATAAAATATTAGCCTATTATATCGATGATAATATGCGTACAACTGACCATGACTCATTGAAAGATCGTAGTAAGTCCTAAACTTACATATGGCGGTTCTAAGTCTCCATTGGGTCTATATTATCGGAAATGGAAGCAGACAGGTTAATTTTCACCCAAACAAGTTTCGAACCAATTACTGCATTTAAAGAGACAAAATTAATAAGATATATCTCAACGACGATTCCGCTTTTTGGTACCTGAACACGTGTTTGCGTTAATCCGGAAATCGAATTTGACAGAAGTGCACGACAATTTCAAATTTATAGAACATTAATTTTTCCTCATTGTAAGACTAGTCCTTATTCAAAAACCATCCTTTAAAATTTTGTAAGAGAAGTTTCTAGAAGCTTTACCCGTTTACCGTCATACTCAACCTAAAATTATTCGCCGTACAGTCGTTACACTCGTTACTCGTAGACCGGCGACTCTCTCGCCGTCGCCGATTCAAATCATAGGTAGGCTAGGTACAATCACTCTAGACTCTTAAGTTTGCAGGTTCTATCTAGGTAGCCTTCTAGGTAGTAATGTAGGATCGTAGAGCCTGTTTTCCCATATAAAAAATGTATGTACAATCTAAAACCTGAACGAGTCTAGTCAATTTGTCAAACAGCTATTGAGTTTTGTACTTTTTTGACTAGGGTTGAACATTTTTATTTAATTCATTTGCACGTCATTTGTATCCTGATTCCTGTACGTACCTATGTAGCAAGTTCCAGCTACTAGTATTAGTATATTCTTAGAATAATATCATGTACCTACATGTAGAAAAAAAAATTATTGTCTAATCCTCGATAATTTATTAATTTGGACTGGACAATGAATCAAAATGTTTTTACCTAATAAATATTAATTGTGACTTAAGAACTATTAGGTTTCACAAGCAATTTTCAAAAATTGAGGCAAATAAATTGGGTAAGGAAAAAAATAGCTGCAATTATTTACTCCCAAGCTAGTATGGCATATATCTACTTGGCGTTGGCGAGCCGCGACTGAATTTTTCGAGCCATGGTTTTATGGATTTACCAGCCGTGATTCCATTTCTACGAGCCATGATTCTATTTCACCGAGCCGTGAATTCCATATCTCGGCCATGAAAAGCCATTTACGAGGTGCGAATGCGAATTTATTTACAAAGTTTATGCACGTGTAACGTGTTACCCCAAATCTCTAATTTTACCCTTAAACAGTCAAACGGCAACAATAAAATTTGTCTCTACTGTAAGTTCAGCNGCTAGATGGCCAAGACCTAGTGTTTTTGCAGTATTTGGACACGCAAATGTATGACGTCACCATTTCAACCATCAATGAACGCATGGAACTAAAACAAAGCTTAATATAAAGGAAAAGCTGGAGAGGTGACGGAATTACCTATGATGTTGGAATATACCGCGTTTACCCTATTTGGAATATGGGACAGAAGTTCCCTAAAATTATGGGTAAAACAATTGTTTCACAGGTAATTTTGGAAAATTGTAAGCTATAATAGGCCACTTTTCTTATTTTTTTAAGGAATAAAATATATAAAGGCCTAAGAAATGGGTGAAAATGGCCAGTTTTGCATGTATTTATGTCCTATTCGCAGATAGATTCTGCCCACATATCCACTTTGGCACTAGGGTAAACGCGGTATAATCTGACACTTTAAGGACGTAGCAAAATATGAATGGCTATAAAAAATACACCGTATGCACAACTCAAGTTCTGTTTGCTTTATGTCACTCTAAAACACTGCACTACGGCCTGCAACAATGAAACATCTCAAAATGTTGCCATATTTATTTAAAAGCCCTTAGAATGCAAACCTACCAAATCCATATATTCCGACACCTTGTGTTACTAAATTTGCATTTTGTGAGACTAATTCCGGCCGTGCTTCAAACTCTACTAATTTGTAATGCCGACACTCTTGTGTTCAAATTCTGATCGCTGTGTGAGCTGTATTGGAATATGATACGACTTTGAATTAGAACACTATTGAATATTGAACACTACTTAATTAGGCTTTTAATTAAGAACTATCAAGCTTTTAATTAAGAATATTTTAATTCATGCACACAGCTCAGAACGAGCTGTGTGTGTCCAATTCAAGTTGTGTCGGAAGTAGTTTTTATGTGTCTAAATCCGTTTCTTAACATAATCATCTATTAATTTATTTACCACTTGAAATCAGCAAATACAAGTACGTATACTTGAAGGATTCCTAATATATTCACAGACTTATTTAAAAGTCTCAAACCATAATATTCTTTCTACACAAACAGTTTATCTCTATTTAGTAGAGCAAAGTCAACTATCAACTTTGACACATTTTTCGATGATCTGACTGGGTGGCATGCACTGTCTCTCTTTGGATCTCAACATTTTCCCGCCAGGCAGCCCAGACCTAGTGTTTTGGCAATAGTTTGGCGCGCAAAGGTATGACGTCACTATTTCAACCATCAACAAATGTGTGGAACGAAGACAAAGCTTAATATAGAGGAAAAAAACTAGAGAAGTGTCGGAATTACCCACGATGTCAGAATATACCGCGTTTACCCTACACTAATTGCCCATCTAGGATAATATTAAAGGAAAATTAAATAATTGGGCTATAAAATTCCAAACAAAAGGCAAAATACATAGATAATTAAATTAGCCACTTGGAGAAAACTGTAAGATTTAGTAAGAAGTAGGAAAATTCCAATCCTGATTTATTTTATGGGTGGCTTATGCCAAATTTTCCATAATGGATGATTTTAAACTTTCCTAATTCAGTGCAATGACTGCAATCTGCTGGAGAAACTGCAAATATCAATATGTCATTTCAGTGATATCACCTGACCCATTCTGCAAATGCGGCAGAAATCACCCATGAATTGTATAAAAATGCCCATGCATACATGGGGCTAGGATAATTCCACTTGTCCATACATTTCTTTAGCCCTTGCAGGCCTTGCTTAATATCTTTTGTAAAAATAAAGAGATATATTTTTCAAAGTTATGCAGGAAATTGCTATTTACACATGATTTGTATAAAATTTGCCTGATATCCCAGAAACCAAGATTTTTTTCAAATTTAGTTATCAATTTGAAAATTTTATCTGAATATATTTGTTACTTTGCAATTTGAAACTTTATACTCCAAATTGAACAATTTCCATTTGTAAAAATCTTTCCTATCACTCACAAATGGTGTTATAATTGAATATTGAAATAATGCATTTTTATTTTTATCCCATACTAAGGAATGCATTTCCAATATTAATTAAAAAATTGGATTCACTGTGGCAGAGGTCAATGACTTTGCTAATAATGTAATAAGTAGCCCTAAACTCTGATGACATAAATAATTGTAAAATAAAAAAATCTAGAAATATACCTTTTTAAGCAATCTGAGCAGTGAAAAACAATCTAAAATTAATTAAATTAATCAATAATCAATGTATTGTGTATTGGGGCATGATATCTTGAAATTGAATGTATTCAGATAAGACACTGCACTGGGAGTGATTGATTTTCTAGTTGATCTTGATGAATTTTTCATTCCTTTAGTCACCTATATTTAATGGAAATATATTCTGGAAGCTAAGAAGGTTGCAATACATGTTCAGTTTCCATCATAATCTTAGAATTTATTCTAATAGACAGTATTGTGAATTAGTTTAAAAATGTAGATATATATAGAAATGTCTATACACATGCAAAGATGACCAGAGAATTTGTTGATTTTGATTTGAGGACCACTGAGAATCAACAAATTGAGAATCTGGTCATCGATCTCACTTGTATAAACAAGCAAATTCTGCCCTCTAATACTAAGAAATGTACATATATATGACTGAGTGTTTGAAGGCATGTGAACTGGTATTTATATTTATTTCTTCATCAATGTCAATGTATGGATAATTTTTTTTTTTGTGGAAGAATCTCATATATATTCCTTGTAATTTTTTTAATTGAAATATTTATGTTTTTACCCCATTCATTTGTTGCAGACCTCGGGAGACAGGGGAACTGCAAAGCATTGTTTATTGACACCCTTTCCACCTGAACCCTGCAACAACATGTCTTTCTGCAAGCAAGAAGGTTTGGATGTCTCAACTCATAAGCAACACCATGAAATATCATTTTCTATAATTATTCAGCTTATTATTTAATCATAAATTTCAGATTTATTTACCGGATGCCTAAATTTTATGCTAATGATGGACACCTTCCATCTTTCAGGAAAGGACAAGATCATTTTTCTGGCAGAGGAAGATGACACCAAACCTACAATCAAATTACCAGATGATGAAGAACCTGGTTAGTGAAATTGCTGTCATTAGTTAAAAATTGAAACCTGTATTCTGAAATTTTCTGAGGAGGTCCACATGCTTTGGGACTCATTCCATAATGTAGATTTCAATTTTATTATGGAAAAAAATCATTCATATAAACTTGAATGTAACGTGTAGAAATTCAATTCATTAACACGTTTTTCTTAGCTTAGCTTCGCGTTTGTTTGTTTGTTTGTTTGTTTGTTTGTTTGTTTGTTTGTTAATTAGTAATTAGAGACCTAAATTAATTTAATTGAGTAAAGTATATATATATAGTATGACGTGCGGGCGCTCACGTTATAGACGAGCAGGCGCTAACGCTGCGTATCATCGATACGTACGTCAAGTCATACTTAATCAAGTCTTAATTGTTTTTCTTGTGGACTAAAAAGTAGAAAATAAAATACTTAAAAAAAACTTTTTAAAAAACCACGTTTTTCTTGTGGACTAAAAAGTAGAAAATAAATTATGGTTCGCCCTAAAAAAAACGTGGGTCGGGCTGTACGTTCACCATCAAATTTCCAAAATTTAAGTGTTGTGTGCTTTTCGCTTTAATCATAAATCTGCCCGACACACGCTTTTTTTGGGGCGAACCATAATTTATTTTCCAGTAGGATTCTAATCCTACTAGAGTATAAATAGCTCGCATAATATTTGCAGACATTTATTGAACAATGATATAAGAATATAAAATTATGGGAAGTTAATAAAATTTCAAATTTGAGGTTCTGTTACTGTAAGGATATAGAATTCAACTATAAATTCACTTTGCAGCTGGCCTGATTAAAGAAGATGGAAGTCTGAACTGGAGCTGTCCTTGTCTCGGAGGCATGGCCACAGGTCCGTGTGGGGTTGAATTCCGAGATGCTTTCACCTGCTTTCACTACTCAGAAGCTGACCCTAAGGGCAGTGATTGTGTTGAGACCTTCAGAACAATGTCCCAATGCATGGCAGAATTTCCAGGTGTGTACGGTAGCGGAGAAGATAATGTCATGAACGTCACAGAAGACGAAGAAGAAGAAAGTGAAGGGAGGTCCTCTTTATCCTCGGATCGTACCGTCAGTAAAGTAGAAGATAAACCCAGTGAACAGGAAAGCAACAATACTAGTCAAAGTAGCTCCAGTCAAGCAAGTAAGAGTTAATTAGGATTTGATTGGTGTAAATAATGTGAAGTTTATTTTTCATTGTACAGTCCAACTCGTACGTGCAACGTTCAATTTTCCATAGGAGTTGACGTCTATCGCAATCCTTATTGATGAACATGAGAATCCGGCATTTCATCTACGCGGTCGCGCTGCTCATTATTGAAATTTTCGAAAATCTATTTGGCGTAGTAGAAAACTCTTGATAGTTTACTTTGGATTTTGACCTAGTGAAAATTAAGACAAATATTATGTGGATCCTCGTCATAATTTCACAGTGTAGTGAATGAATAATTTGTCTTTAATATAGGTTGTAAGTGTGACGTCATTGTACTAAGGTACATTCTTCACTCGTGACAGCAAAGAAAGTTGTTGATATTTTTCATCTGTTATTTCGTGTCGATGGTAAATATCTGTCGTACACATGTTGTTTTATTTCATACACTTCGGCGAGGTGAAATGACGTAATGAAATAAGCGTCAAACAAATGTTCACAACTTTATTGAGATCATGAGTTCTGGCAATGCATTATACTTGGAAACAATCAGAGTATAACTGACGCAAAACAATAACGGAAAACCCGGTAGCTACTTCTTAAGTTGCGTCAAAGCCATAAATAATTTTTTGCAGCTTCAATCCACCACGCTCCTCGGGACGATGTTACACAATTGCTACAGAAAAGCCTCAATAGGCCTAGAAAATTCTTAGCCATTCCAAGACGACCGTTAAATAATGTCTGCGGTCATGTGAATACCAATACTATGCAACCCCCACTACATCGCTTGCAGCTGCAAAAAATTATGTCAAAAAATTATTACAGGTAACACAAACACTCACAGGCGTTAATACTAAATTTCCTAGGATATTACATTTCTGTACTACCGAAAATTTTTACACTATTTAAAAACGCGTGAAGAGTTTCGCTCTTTAGACAGCAGTACCTTGATATACAAACTACATCAACTATAAATAAAATAAAGTAAGAAAATATAAATTAATCTTGTATTCAATGTTGTAGCAAATCTACGTGGTATAGCCTCAGCTACGCAGACTAAATGACAAATTCTATGAATAATTAACAGGCCGCATCGCGCCACGGAATGCAAAAAAAACTACCTATTATACAAATAAGCTCATTTCCTCAACATTCAAATGTAAAGAAGAATTTTTTTGTGTCGTGCTATCAGTTAATTTATGCAAATGTACGAACTCTAGCAGAAAGTATAAACTTTCTATTTGATTCTGTCCACATTTAACAGTAAAAGCCTGTAGCCGCAAAGTGAATCAAGAAAAAAATTGCAAACATAGCATTGATGGACATACAAATGAACTCTTTTGTTAAGTAAAATAAGAAGTTTAGGCCTAAATTAACTAATATAAAATTATATCTCCTAATCTTAACAGCAGTGTAGTAAAAGTAACACTTTCAAATCTGACTAGCATATGTAATGAAGCTAAGCATAAATTACAGTCTATAAGCCGGAACGCTTTTCCACCAAGCCCAAAGGAATTACGTCGTAAAATAATAATAATGCTTCCAACATGCGCATGACCGTCATGTCTGAAAATACTCAGCCTTCACTGCACAAAGCTTGACATATCATATTATCCAGAATATATTTCCATTGATGAACTAATTCTTGCTAAACGCTAATAACCATCGAGACCAGGAGAGATCAGTAAATATATCTACGCAGCTGTACGATTTCAAGAAGATCAAATTTCAGTTCAGCCCGTAGCAGATTGAAATTTATCAACAACCTCTTTTGGTTCCGAGAAATTGGCCAATAGAAAGAAGCGTAACACAGGAAGTGATGGCCGGAGGGAACTGACAATGTCATCCAAGCACTCACTCTCTTCAGTCCTTCTTCTCATGATCCATGTCTGAAAACAAGCAGTTACAGGTATTAAATACTTAGGGAAATGAATGCTAAGAAAATTTTAAGTAATGAGGAATGAATTAGGTTAAATTCCATAGACAAGAATAAATGTAGTGGACAACATTTGCACAAATAATTCCAATAAAAAAATGCTTTCCGGAACGCAATTGTAGAAGCAAGGAAGCCGGGGTTCAATGAAAAGTTTTTGTCAACGAAACTGTACATCCTGGACCTATTTGGTGAGGCTCGATAGCGCATGAGCCTTAAAAAATGTTGTGTCAAAAAATTAGTAAAAATCTGGATGATAAAATTCGAAGTTAAAGATCTGGATGAATAAATATCGAACGGGCATCGTAATCAAATTCCATCTTCAACAGTTTCATCTGTGTCTAAGTAGCATGTAGTGAAAAAAGTAGTAGTGAAAACTGAGAAGTAAATATAATTTACAACGCATGAATTAAATTAAAATTAAACACCCTTAAATTAGACAAGTAGAGTCAAGGCTATCCAAAGTAGGTATTAAATTTCATCTGTTGAATTCATCTCATAACTAACAAGTTGCATCAGAAATAAATACCCGATCCTTACTGACCTCTAGCAAGCCTTCTCTCGTACTCCTCGACGCCCTCGCCTTCATCGTCCTCATCCATGGGAGCGTCCATGATGTCTCCACAGCACACCGAGTACAGGATGAGGGACAGGAAGCCCATAGGGAGGCCGAAGAGAAGTGTCGTCAGCACCGGGTTACCTTGCCACATCTCCTGCAGGCTCCATGCAGCCCCCAGCACTGCTCGCTGCACTCGATGAGCATACGAGTCGCCACCTCGGCCCTGCCATACAACAGAGTCCAGTTTTAGAATCGTGCTCCGGAGCTCTTGGAAGCGTCCAATTATCACAAGTACACCGATCATGAGACGAGCCTCGTTCATAAGACATTAACTCGGTTGAGCGCTAATATTTTTGAATAACCAGTTTAGCACCAAAACAGACTTTTTTATGTAACTCATTACATCAAACATCGTGTCCAGTTCACGGATAGGCTACTTTCAAGTTAATGAGAGCAGAGAGAATAACATAGAGATAAATGATTAATTATGATAATTTTCAGTCCAACTTCAATTCATCAACGTGGTGCAAAAACATTTTTTCCAATAACATTTCTACATTGCTTATAAAATTTCTTTTTTTTACTTATTTTTGTCTCGGAATTGAGGATTGGACATTTTCCTTTCAGATTAATAAAATTTGTCTAAATCTGCGGTGATCTTCGCACCCACAATCGTGCCATCTGAATATCGCTATATAAATTGATTAAATTCTGAAGGCGCAGATAAGAGAAAATGCATAGAAAAAATAGTGCAGGTCTACAGAAATCACGGACAAAAATACACCATTCAGTACTTAGCTTCAGCTTCATTGAAGTAAACGCAACCTAATTTACAAACTTGCTTTCACCAACCTCGCTGCAAGTAGACAAAAACATCTACTTATATATATTAAGGAGTTTGTTCCCGTCTCAAATGCACCCAAGGGCTGCACTTCTGTAGGTGGTATAAAGACCTGCGTTAACATGGCGGTCTCGGCCGAACAATACTGAGAACCTATGACTGAAGATTGGTCATGCCAGACATAACGGATCAAAAAAGCGCCATAGACAATATCACATGACTGGCAATGCTCAATGAGAGGGCAGGGAATGGCTTATGAGCCGAAGGTTACGCAAGGCAGTTTATGGAGGCGAAAACTTACAAAAAGTAAACCTACGCAAAGTCAACAAGAATGTATAGCAGAATTAACCAACAATAACATTAAATTAGAAATTGTCAACACAGAAAATTTCATCACTGATAAATGCTAGAAGTTGAAGTAGTCACATGAATAAATTAGTAGCATCTGCCAATCCTCGACAGTGCTGCTGAAGAAAGTATTGGTGAAGCAACGTGACTAGTCGTGTGACGACAGAACCTACCACACAATCAATTTAACATTCAATATGTAACATTACTACAATATATGACATTCCCAGTATTAGAGGAAAACGATATAAGTTTTAGGTGCTAAACCTCAGCTGTGCCCTCAAGAACGGCGTCGAGGAACAGCCGTGTGAGGTCGTGGTTGAGGTCGTGCGAGGGCTCAGGAGGCACGTAGCACACGAGCGTCGTTGTGTTGATCACGACTAGGGACGGCAGCGGCAGGCGCGTCATGACCAAATTATTGGCGAGGTGAGGTGTGCCCGTCCACCCGAACTGGAAGTGTCTGTGAACGAAAAACTCTAGAATTAATAAGGAATCAACGCGTGTATTTTTATTCAGTGCGCCATCGTTCAAATTATCGAATTATCCTTTGAGAATTTGCTAGGAAACTTTTTAATATTTAGAGCGAAATAGCATCACAATCTCTCAAATTCCTTAGTAATATTACTGGTCTCCGTTCCTAAATATTCATGCCATAAATTGGCCTTGTTATTATGAGGTGAACTCACTGATGGTATTTATTCCTGTCTTCTCGTGCGATTGTCTGGAGCATGTCACGAAACCTGCCGAGGGGGAAGTGGTTCATGAAACTTGGATTGAGAGATTACAAATTTATCATCATAGAAATAGTTAATCATTTTGGCTAATCTGGAAGAACATATAGCCCTGAGTGCTGCAGGTATAATTCGTAAATTCAGCCATTATATTTCATTTTTCAAATAATATTGAAATATTTAAGAACTCCACTAACTGACAGAATGTGTTCTTACTGTTATTTTGAAAATGTACCATTTCAATAATTTTGTACGACACAAGATGTCGTAATATTCCTGCGAATACGCTTCATCCATGATAGTACTTTAGATACTCGAAACAGAAACAATTTAAGAAAAACAAACAATCAATCAATGAGTTAGACGTTATAGACTGAATTATCGGTCAATTCGACATAAACTGTAACGGTTATATACTATGTTCATTTGAATTGCCTGTTAGTGAAAACATCTTACTGAAATTACTTCACTATAAGCTATATTACCTGATTATTAAAAAATGAAAGAAATCATCAGGCGCAAAAGTCTACTCACTTGTAGCCATCAACATAATGTTCGCTGCATTGGGAGGAAGAATCGTCCATTATTAGAGCCACTCACTCAAAGCTGGCAAGCTGCCATTCATTCCAACAAGAATATATTTTAAATTTACGCTATATAGTTTTAAAAGCATCGTACTCCTCTGCTATTTTTTATATAAGGAAAAAAACAACGATCCTACAAGAGGTTTTATAACTAAATTTGAAACGTTTGTCGCGATTTGTTGCATTATTTAGGAACTTTAAAGCAGAATTTTATTCCCATTGCTGTTCAAATCAGATTTTGATAAAATTCAAATTTTGTTGTGACCTGGACTTAGATTTACTGAGCCTGACCGTCAAAATTTATTTGTATCTTCCGATAATCAATACACTTATATTTTCTCGTCAATACATTTAATATTATCTTTCACTTGTTCAAAATAGAAACTGGAATGTAGCCCATGAAAGTCTGGATTCCGCAAAATATTTCTTAAAATATTCTTCTACAGAATATAAATGACTAATTCTAGACTTCTTTTAATCAACTAAAATTACATTATACTCAGTAATTATGCGATATTAAATGTATACAGTAATTTTATCAGATTATTTAATGTCTCACGCTGTCTCATCCGTGGTGAGAAGTCCAGTCTTGCTCTCCCCCACCACCACCATAGCGATGTTCTTGCTGCCCTGAACGAAGCATCAGTTTAATAGACTCAACAGGTACATTATCATCAGTTGATCTTAGTGATAATAGCAACACATTATAGTGATAATAGCAACACATTATAGTGATAATAGCAACACATTATAGTGATAATAGCAACACATTATAGTGATAATAGCAACATATACAACTTTGCAGCCATGAAACATATACGAGTTTAAAACCCTTGAAAACTATGCATTCGATTGAGTGAATTATAAAAGGTTGTAAATGTAGGAATGCACTCCAGAAAGAGTCTGTAAGTCAGTTTTGATATCAGTTTCAGATCTATTCGATACAGGTTACAGAAAGTTACGAATTTCACAGATGCAAAAGAATACTTATTAGTAAAAAATACTAGTCAACAGAAAAAATTACAACAAATGAATCCCAAAATAAGGGAAAAAAATATTATGAATATTTTATGCAAACTCACGGCATGAAATTCAGACTCAAAATTTGAATGATTTATAGTAATACCTTCCGTTTAATGAAATAGGCCAAATTATGAGTAAAACAAATTAGAATCTTTAATTTAACTATTTGAAATTAAATTAGAAAATTCAATGAATTGAACTCGTGACTAAAAATACAAGAATGGAAAATATGGTTTAGGATTAACTTATCTAAAATCTTGTTTGAGAATTTAATGATCTAGGTTTATCACTTGAAGTTAAAAATTAAGACAAAGATATATAAGAAATAATCCAACATAATGGCTTAATATCTTACCGTCTGAAATGATGGAATAATGGATCAATGATTTGGAATGTCATCTGTAAACAGAAAGCTATGCATGAAGTGTTGCTGCAAATTTCCCACTACTTTATGTCAGACTACGAAGTTTAATTAAGTAGGACCGACTCTGACGTCGGTGTTAGGTTCAGTATAGCCGTCAGATACTATGCCGATCCCGACTTGCGTCCTGGTTCCTCCTCTCTTATAGGATCTTGACTCAGACGCCAGGGTGAGTTGCGTGCTATGGTGGTAAAATCTAGCTTGGAATACTTGATGGAATATCGTGATTTTTGTGTATATACGACTTGTCTTGCGTAGATATTTACTTTTTGTTTTCTGTTGTAGGATCGTGCGTTTTCTCAGATCTCAATGCTCTCAGATCTCAATGTTTAACTCATATGCCGCACCTGTTTGATTTGTTTAGTTTCGATTTGCCGTTAATCTTTAATAAATAAATTTAAGAAAGTTTGTTTGAGTAAATATCCGCTCGGTCCAAGCTTTTTGCTGATTAGGCCAATAGGGAAGTTGCATTCAATTTCCGGTCATTGGTGGACGTGACAATTAGACCATCCGAACTTTGAGTGGCGCGATTAATTAGCTATCATTCAAGATTAGTTCGTCACATTTGGTGGCCAGTATGGGGATGGTCAGTTGTAAATTAATTTGCCACGGGCGGAATTGTTAATTTTCTCAATTTATTATTCAATTTTGATTGCTATCTATTTCGGTAAATTTGAAGATGTCACTAGACTCAACTTTCATCACGGACGGGAAAAACTTAGGATTTGAGGGGCAAGAATTGCGCGATTATGTTAAAGAACGTAAAGTAGAATATCGTGGATCCGAAGAGGAAGAGCGAGAGTTGCGTAAATTAGAACTAACGCGGGAAGGAGCGAGAGAGAGAGCTGAGCAGGAGATTGAGAGAGAGAAGCGAGCTCACGAACGTGAACTACGAGCGCTCGAGCTGGAGAAGCTCAAACTGCAGGACGAGCGGCAGGCACGTGAAGCTCAGCTTGAACTTGCGCGATTACAAGCTAACTCCAATCCAACTAATTCTTCTGGAAGCCGATCTGTTATAAAGTTGGCCGGCTACAAGGATGGAGAAGATGTCTCAATTGATATCTGATATCTTCAGACGTGATTTGGATTCAGTTATAGAGATGGCAGACAACTTCCAAGCTATTCATCGTCCACCTAAACCTGCCAGTTCTGATGTTAATGCGAGAATGTCATCTGTGTGTTTGCGATGCAATAAGCCAGGACATATCGCTAAATTTTGTAGATCTAAATCAGGTGGATCGCCGGATGACGTGCCTTCGATTCAGAGTGCGACGCATGGTGCGCCGTCAAATGACACTAATGAAAAGAAGTGCTTTAATTGTGGGTCAATCGGTCATTTTTCTAGATTTTGCCCAGAGAAACGCAAGTCTAAACCTGATGAGAAATCCGGAGACGTGAAACTAAGCAGGAAGGATGATACTTTTAATGTGAATGCATCTTTGTCCAATCCTGACTATAATAGTTACCTCCCTACTTCTAATGGAACTTGTAATGGCAAGAGCGTCAAGGTTCTGCGCGACACAGGAGCTACTGCTGTTGCCGTCAAGCGTTCTCTTGTTCCCGAAGGCAGCATTTCAAGCAAGACTGTGAAGCTTACCTTTGCTGATGATCATTCAGTCAATGCACCAAAGACGATGGTGGATCTTCGTTGTCCACATTTCACCGGTAGAGTGGAGGCTCTTCGTCTACCTGATCTACCGTTTGACGTATTGCTGGGCAACATACCAGGTGCCACCTGTGCTTGTGGAGCTAAGACGACGTTGAGGGCTACAACCGAGGAAGTTGTTGGTGAGCNTAAATATCCGCTCGGTCCAAGCTTTTTGCTGATTAGGCCAATAGGGAAGTTGCATTCAATTTCCGGTCATTGGTGGACGTGACAATTAGACCATCCGGAATTTGAGTGGCGCGATTAATTAGCTATCATTCAAGATTAGTTCGTCACAATGATCAAACGATCAAAAACTATTCCTGGTCAAATGCCTGGACTGGGCTAAAGATTACGGAACTTTACAAGACAAGACATTGTCCATGGCCGCACCTTGAAGACCTGCGCGAGGCTGGAGCCTGTGAACCTCATGAAGTGAGGGAAGCGTTCGTGGAGCACCCAGCGACTCAGCGACGCGTTCACGCCCTCGCCTTCAGGACCTGGCACCCAACAACACAATCAGGCAATGTAGTTCATCTCATCTGTAGGCAATCTGTTCATCATCCCAATTCTTCTTTCGTTAAGTTCAGTAATGGAGCTAAGTCAAGAAATCTAGACTTCAATGAATCAACTAAAATTACATTACAATCAATAACTATGCATCTGGAAAAGTAAAAAATAGTTCTGGAATATAATTTAGCAGTTTTTTCCTTTGCACTATGATGGAAAATTTCTTAAAATAACTATGCAAGCTTTTTTTGCCTTATAACTAGGTCAGTTCAATATTATCTTGCAGGGCACCTGGGTAGAGGCTGTTCGAGCCGTCCTTGTGCACCACGACTGCAGGGTAGGTCAGTGGGCGCCCAACTAGCTGCACACAGAATGTTGAAAACCTAAGTCGTTAATTCATTTTAGAGCTGAGCCTTAAGTGATCACAATGCTTTCCTATCTCTTAATAAAAAATTCCTTTCCGATGGCATGATCTCTTTTGACGTGTTTAACTGCACCCGCCAAATTTCACCATATAGATATTAACCCGCGCCTCAAGATTTTCAGCGCTGGCAGCCATTCAAACGCCATTTCAGCAATGGCCACCACCGGATGAAAACCATCTCTCTGCCTTCCATCTCTTCGTGTATGGATGCTTCCGTATTGCCAATTTTGGACCGCAAGATGACCGAGAGCAGCTAGCTTTTCTTCGGCCGGCCACGTCAACATGATGCACTCAGTGGAGTAGTAGGCACCGGGCGACATGCAGCCCGTCGGATATGTCGCCTGGTGCGACATCGTCGTCGGAGCTTTATAGAAGCCTCTGAAGTAGAGGTGGCTAGCAGTGCACTGAGATGAGTGTCATGACGGTCGGCCGTTTACTTCCAGTTTAATACGTAGACACCTAAACATTGTGATCACTTAACATACGTTTCTGCCACTCGTGAAACGTACGTTGCAGACGTTCATTTCTCGTTAACCGCGTGAGGTGCAGCAGCAGAACTCCAGCTATCCCGACGCTCTCGGGACGTTGCACACGAGGCTACCCGGCCTCAAGCTCGAATCTTTCATTTAATAATACTTGAATTTCTGAGCCGTGTGTTCCCTTGCACCCTCACTTGTTTGCATTTTCAAGACAGCAAGAGCAACATTGTCCCACAAGTCAGAAATATTAAAACAACAACAAGATAATAAAAATAACTTGTAATCTTCCATGAATAGGATTATGACCAATTTTTATCGAGTATGATTCTAATACCCTTCAAATATGATGTATATAGTTGAGAATTCAGTTTTGAAGTAATGGAAATAAATCGTGTAGTTAGTAGATTCAGAACTCCTACCAGATTAAAATTATAGGTATAAAATATACTTCACATTGTTTCAATTTTCTAGATAACACAGTAAGGGCAAATACATTGATTGAATGATCAAATGCATCGATGTGTGTACAAGCCATTGAATAGCCAATGCATGACTGACCAATAAAATTGAAGAGGATAGAAAGATAAGGATGCATATTTCACAAAGCTGTTGATGAGAGTCTGACCTTATCAAGATGCTCCTCGTCCATGGTGTAGAAGTAGTGGTAGTAGCGGTGTTCGTCTGCTAGCCAAGAATACACTGACTGCACAGAATCATTGGAATTTTAGTGTTTCTTCTCTAGACAACCAGTAAATACTTTGCAAATTCATCATTTGCTCAACACGCATGATTTTTGTTTATGAACCAACAGAAAAAAAAATCACTCAGATGTTATCTTGTTTAACACATACAAAAATAATTATATACTCAGGCTATTTAAAAAATCTCTCATAAATGCAGACGATTTGAAATTAGATATCACCCAACATGACCTGATATTTGATATAAAGATGGCTTTTGTTGAGACCAAAGTAGAGAAGATGCAAAATGTCAGGCACAAATAAATGCAACATAGGACCATGCAAAAAGACCGGCACTGAAGAATGTGAACAGAAAATTATCAAATACGATTAGAATGTGAAGAGAAAAACATCAAGAAAGATTAGAATGTGAAGAGAAAAACATTAAGTAAGAACAGACCCAAAGCTCGCCATCCTTGGGGCCAGCATAAACAAATATGCCTCCCTCCTCCTTCTCCCGGCCCGTGGTGGCGGTGGGCATGAAGGGCAGGTTAGGCAGCTCAGTGACGTGTGGTAGCGGTGGACCCAACATTCGGCGTGCAAACCCCACGATGTCAGCTGTGGTGCGGTCACCCTGGTACACTGCACGCTCGCTGCCCCGCAAACTGCATTGCAAATCATAAGCATAACAATAGTAATTCATGCTATGAATAACCTTCTATGAATGTTATGGGAAAAATTTCAAGTACCGGTATTACATAAAGAGCATAATTACACAAAAATTTTCAACTTGTGGAGCAAATGCTCACAATCTCAATGCTGATATTTTCTTTGAAAACCATATTAAATATAAATATACACGTCACAAAATGTATGCTATGTTTTAGAGAGATTAGAAATCAAAATTTGTCGCCATAAAAAGGTAAATATTCCAGTAATTGCAGTAGTTACTTATATACATGCAAGGAATAAATAACTCACAAGATGATAGTGGGGAAGCCACGCACTTCAAACTCGGCAGCAAAGGCTGTAAAGCGTGTGGCGTCAACACGCCCAACACGGATCTGAGTGCCATAGAGTGCCTGGGCAATGTGTCCCCATGTAGGCTCCAGCTTGCGGCAGTGTCCACACCAGGGAGCATAGAACTGTAATGCATAAAAAAATCATTGACACTTGCACTAAATTTCATTTTAACTCAAAGTAATATCAATTTAAGCTACATGTATTGCTGTGATAGATAAAAATTCAAAAATTATTTTTCCATAACAATCCTTGATTAATAACTTCACAAACTTCAATGAGATATAGTCCAGAATGACTATGGAAGGAAAAATATTGCAGAAAATATGTCTTCTAAAAAGTATCACTCCCATAAATCCTTTATTCAACCTCAATTTACAGAAAATCAAAGTTTAAATTTTCATAAATAAACTCACCATTATGAGCCATGTGGAGTCACCTCTGAGCTCAAGGAACCTATCGCTGAGCTCTACAACCCTCGTGCCAGCACACAGCACATGGCACACACCTGTGATAAAGCTGTCTCAGAAATGCTCCTCACAATAGCAGGAACAGAGAGCATTAACTTTATATTCCATAACTCATGAAGGAGCATCATGATTAAAATTGGGAAAATGTGTTTACCATAATACTTGGCAGATGCCCCTAAGGACCTAGTGACATTATGGAATTTAAGAATATAGTTAAAAACACAATTTCATGAAAGCTATATAATTAGTTTTTGTTGCACATACATTCAAATTTATATCTAAGGCCATGAATTTTTTAGAAGTATGTATGTAGGGAAATATCTCAATTTAATAAACTAAATTCATTAAGATAAATCTACCATATCTAAGAATAATATTTAAAAGAATTCTCATCATATTGTTCAGTCCCAAAAAAATGATTGCAATACACTTGCTTAGGGGCCAGGGCTCTAACCAGAGTGCACTTAATTGCTGGAGATTGGGTAGTTTCCTGAGAATTACATGATTTCAAAACATTTCTGCAAAATATTATTCATCAGAAATCATAACAGGAGCTTTTTCCAAATAGTTTCACAAATTATTATAAATACATTCTAAAAGATTGAATAAAATTTACAAGCAACACTCACCACAAAAACACAACAAAAATACAAGCTTGAAGCAACTGTTCATCCACTTCATGATGAGTGAACTGATCAGCTGTTGGAGGCTGATGGCTCTTGAAAATTTGGAACTTCAATTTTTGAAGTCAATAATAATTTTATAATAACACTTTGCTCTTATAATTCAAATAATTAAAATAAATCTATATAAAATGTTAGAGTATAAATACATTTGTTGTGAAGTCTAATATGAATAACAACACAAGTGCCTAGTGCAAATTTAAGAAACCTTGAGTGAATCTGAAATATCAAAGATTAGATTAGAAGATATTTCATGATCACTTACATTAGTAGAATATTAACTCTTAAGTCTCTACCATCAACAAAAAAGGATTTAATTCAGGGGTTGATCTATAGTGCAAGCCTCTAAAAAAACCATTTCCAGTTTTTTTTTCTCATAACTTTGAAGTAATGGCTGTAGCCTGTAGCACATTGAAATTTGTAGTTAACTTTTAGACTTCTAAATTATTGATACTATAAAAGTTCAATTTTTTAAGGAACTTCCACCTTACCAGACAGACCTGCCACAACCAACATAACACATTTTATTACCACAACCAACATTACATAACACAACACATTATAACACAACATAATGTGTTGTGTTATAATGTACATTGTAGGGTAAATGCGGCATATTCCGACATTGTGGGTAATTTCGACACTTCTCAACTTTTTTCCTTTATATCAAGCTTTTTCTTAGTTCCACACTTCCACGCATTCGTTGTTGGTTGAAATAGTGACGTCATACTCTTGCGCACCATACTATTGCCAAAACACTAGGTCTGGGCCGTCTGGCGCTGGCAGGAAAATATTGAGATCCAAAGAGAGACAAGACAGTGTGCGTCACCCAGCGAGGACATTGAAAAATGTGTCAAAGTTGATAGTTGACCTTGCTCTACCAAATAGTGATAAACTGTTTGTGTAGAAAGAATATTATGGTTTGAGACTTTTAAATAAGTCTGTGAATATATTATGAATCCTTTAAGCATACTTGTATTTGCTGATTTCAAGTCATAAATAAATTAAAAGATGATTAAGTTAAGAGACGGTTATAGACACATAAAAACTAATACCAAGACAGCTTGGAATTAGACACACAGCTCGTTCCAAGCTGTGTGCAAAAATTAAAATTTTCTAAATTAATAGCTTAATAGCTCTTAATTAAAACCCTAAATAAGTGGTGTTCAATATTCAATAGTGTTCTTACTGCTCTAATTCCAGGCTGTGTCGTATTCCAATACAGCTCACACAGCGATTGGAATTTGAACACAAGAGTGTCGGAATTATGATTAGTAGAGTTTGAAGCGCGGCCAGAATTAGTCTCAAAATGCCAAATTTAGTTACACACAGTGTCGCACTGTGTCGGAATACGGTATATGGATTTGGTAGGTTTGATTTCTAAAGGCTTTTAAATAAATATGGCAACATTTTGTGATGTTTCATTGTTACTTGTTGCTGGCGCGTAGTGAACTCAAGTTGTGTGTACGGTGATTTTTTTATAGCCATTCATGTTTTGCTACGTCCTCAAAGTGTCGGAATATACCGCGTTTACCCTACCCATACTGTTGTGTTATCTGTTATGTTCTTTTAAAATGTATTGTGTTGGTTGCATTATAATGTGCTCATTGTGCTGCATTATATTATTTTACAAAGCATTATGTAATGTTAGGTTTTGTAATTTGTTGTGTTACATTATGATGTATAATAATGTGATGTGTAATGTGTTGTGTTCTGTTATATTATATTCCAATGTTTTGCATTATATTAGGTATAATCATAATGTATTAGCTTTAGGTATAATGGGTTTTCTTAAATGTTTTGTCAAATTATTCTGTATAAAGTTTTGCATTATGTTAGTCTGTTAGGGTAAACGCTGTATATTCCGTCACATTAAGGACGCATCGAGAAATGAAAAATTTAAAAGCCTTTAGAATGCAAACCTACCAAATCCCTATATTCCGTCACTGTGTGTGGCTATATTCGGCACGTGGTGAGGCGTATTCTGTCCGCGCTTCAAATTCTACTAATACGTAATGCTGTCATCCACGTGTTCGAATTCCGTTTGCTGTGTGAGCTGTATTGGAATACAACATGGCTTTGAATTAGAACACTAATGAATATTGAACACTACTTAATTACCGTAAAATGGGGTAACTTAGACCACTTTTCATTTTTTTAACAAAAACCCCCACAACTCAAAAACTATTTGACATAGAAAAATTTTGTCAATGGGCATTAAAGGCCTAATACTGAGGCTACATAACACAATAGAAAGATTTGAAAAGTTTGCATATCTAATAGGTTTAAAAATTGAAAACGTGACCCACGAAAAAAGCTATTATTTAAAGCCTGTCAGAGTACCCCCTCCAATTCTTTTATTTTTTGGTTAAATAACTCCAGGTTTTGATGCATTGTAGTAGAACTCTTCTACTTACATATGCAAATGACAAATTTTAGGAAAGTGTCATAGTTTGCAAATGGGGGGCGCCGCCCCCAAATGGGGTAACTTAGACCACCTAATGTCAGCCCTGACGGGGTAACATAGACCGGCTTGGAAGTTAATATAAAATTACCATATATAACATATTTTATGTTTGACAGCCTATTTATGTTTTTTCTTTATGTTTCAGACACTACAGAGTTTTATATATGGTAATTTTAACTTAATTTCCAAGCCAGTCAATATTGCCCCATCAGGGCTGCCATTAGGTAGTCACATTTCCCTCATTATGGGGCGGCACCCCCCATTTGCAAACTATGACACTTTCCTCAAGTTTGTCATTTGCATATGTAACTAGAAGAGTTAACCTGTATTTTGCATGTTTCAATTCAAGTTTAATTTAGCTAGTAAAAAAATGGCATCATTTATAAAAAAAAATTGGTCTAAGTTACCCCATTTTATGGTACGCTTTTAATTAACAACTATTAAGCTTTTAATTAAGCAAATTTTAATTTTTGTACACAGCTTAGAACGATCTGTGTCTGTCCAATTCAAGTTGTGACAGAATTAGTTTTCATGTGTCTAAATCCATTTCTCAACTTAATCATCTATTAATTTATTTACCACTTGAAATCAGCGAATACAAGTATACTTAAAGGACTCCTAATATATTCACAGACGTATTTAAAAGTCTCAAACCATAATATTCTTCCTATACAAAAGGTTATTCTCTATTTGGTAGAGCAAGGTCAACTGTCAAATTTGACACATTTTTCGATGATCTCACTGGGTAGCGTGCATTGTCTCTCTTCAGATCTCAATATTTTCTTGCTAGATGGCCAAGACCTAGTGTTTTGGCAGAAGTTTGACGTGCGAATGTATGACGTCACCATTTCAACCATCAACAAACGCATGGAACTATAAACAAAGCTTAATATAAAGGAAAAACTAGAGAGGTGACGGAATTACCCACGATGTCGGAATATACCGCGTTTACCCTATAATGTGATGTTATCTTGCTCTTGCATAATGCATTATGTTATAATAAAACCCTTTTCATAGTGCTCAAGAGTTGAGGCATCTTTTCAGACTCATGCTAACTCAACCATCTCATTGTTCACTAATGTTAACACAAGGAAATTAGGGATTCTACCATTAATGCCACTGGCCACATAAGAAATAAGTCGGCAGTCGCCACTTTCGGAAATTTGGAGGACCTGCTGGCTGCTGCTGCTGTTAAAATACATTAAATTTTGAAACACCAAGAAGCTAAAAATTAAATGTATATATAGTCAAATGGGGTAAGACAGGATCACAATTCACAGCCTTCATGGGGTAAGAAAGGACCAGCCCATTGTGTGCATTCTAATTGCACTGAATTCAATTTGACAAAAGAATATGTTAGAACAATCATTGCCTGTCATTTCAGTGTTTGTGGCAACCCTCTTCTGCAAATTATGAATTTCTGGCTAATTTTTAAAGAAAACCTACTTAACGGTAAAGCAGGGTTGCAAAATAGTTAACCCTGTTTGGGAAATAAGCTCTGTCTAATGACAAAAAATTTTTTGGCCAGGTTTGCGGATGTAGCCTCATGTAGGCAGGTAACCTCAAGTAATAGGCAACTTTTTATACATACAAGGCATTCCTACCTGCTACCATCACTGCCTGACATGTATTCTAAAATGGGATAAAAAAGGACCGGACATGGGGTAAGACGGGACCACTAAATGATCCTGTTTTACCACACACGCAGTCCTAATCGGGAACGCAGCCGTGCACCACAAATTTTGTACACCAATAAGCCCTGAATCGAACGCCTTGGATCTTTCCAGACATCCACCAATCAGCCGTGAATGGAATCTGCTACTCGTAACCGATCATTGACATCATTCTGCTTTGAATATTCTGAGCTCCACACCCCCCAGACACAAGGTCGAATAGCCTAGGGTCGAATGGCCGTCCACCACTGAACATTGCGTCGAAGCATCACTTCATACCCTGGCCACCGCTCGAATTGCAACTTGCGCGCAACAGCCTGCGACCACTTGGCTTTGCCCACCTCCGGCCTTGCATAAAACCTGCCGTGCACCACCTGGCCGTTGGTCGAAAGAGCCGTGCGACTGGCTGAGTCAGGTTAGGTTAGGTTAGGTTGGGTTAGCACTTGGCTGGAGCGTTCGACCCGCGGGCGTTCAACTGAGGGCTGGTTCGACGCACTGACTAGATACGGACGGCTTGGTGTCGGATATCACATTCGCTGCAAGGCTCCTGCGCGCTGTTATCGTGTGAGTCTCAGCACACCGCGAGTTGCAATTTATCCCCTCAGAACAGAAAGGGCCACGACAACGAGAATGAATAAGTATTTGTGGAAGCGCTAATTCTTGTCTAAATTTAAGGTTTGAAAGCTTCAAGGTTTTACATTTTATTAGGAACAATATCAAATGAACAAATTAAGATTTGAGGTAGGCAAAAATAAAATCCAAAAATCACTAATAAAGGAAAGAGCACAGGCCGGGTTAATGTGGACTTGACATTACCGTGCCAGCTGTAAAAAATAAATGAAATTAATAAAATAGCAAAGGATGCATAATTTAAGAAGCTGTGATTGAAATGATTAATTAGTAATCAAGCACTGCAGGGTAAAGTGAAGGCAAGGGACTTATCAGTTAACGTCAACAAAGCAAGCAAGGGATATAGTCATAAATAAATGCGATCAAAACAAGTTAAGTAAAACCAAAGAACCAAAAGGGTTTGCAAGGTGAACACGGTTGAGAATGCAATGACAGACTATTAAGTATAG